CTCGTATCCGTACTGAACCAAACACCATAGTCGACCCAAGGCAGCACCACCCCATGCTGTCCATGCGACTCCTACTCTCAGAACATCTCAACTGCAGTAATGTTAGTAATCAAGCACACCAGGGAAAGCGTCGCAGAGAACCTCGACCATCGGCAATAGTGTTAACCTGTTAAAATCCGGGGAAAATGATCAATCCGGATTCAGAGCTGATGGCGGGTAATCGAGGCGAAATTAGGCCAATCTCCCAATGGTCATGGGTTCCCGTCCCTTTCATCGTTTTTCATCATTCTTCCCTTTCCTTAATTCTATTGTCGGAAATAGTACATTAACTGTAAGTTCCCCAAAATTAAATTCCRARAAAATTTAAATAAATGGYCGAATTYCTTTTGTTTCTTTTCTCTTTTACCATTTTTAATCTTTTKTTATGTTTTTAATTTCATTGCCGGKAACATAAAATAACAAGGGTATTCCCCCTTGAATTAAATGCCGTAAAAAATAAAAAAATTAAGGGATATTATGTTTTTCCCTTCTCCCCTACTGGTCGTAATCCCTTTTCCCCATCTTTAATTATGGTACTAAAATAGACAAAAATTTGAGGCCTCATTTCGGCCCCGGTCGTATGCCGCAAAAAATGTGGCTGCGAGGTCAGTTCCGGCGATGCCTCTCCGCGGCAAGCCATTCCGGGTCTAACCCTCTGAACGGCCGGAAATGACGGTCCGTTCATGTGCCGAGTGCGACCACCCATCTCGCCATCCTTGAGGGTTACCCGTAGGGTTCAGCGCGCCCAAAATCAAGGGCGGCCCGAGCTCCCCTAATTTCCGCTGCCTGGTCTAACCAGAGTACAGTCAAAACTCAGACTCGTCTTTGCGCCTAAGCCCCAAAACCGTAGATTTCAGGCGGCGCACTGCTTGTGGCCGCCTGACATCGCGACGCTGTCGGAGGGTGCATCACGCATCCCACAAGTCTCCGCCCTCGCATACGGCAAGCAGCGCGTGCATGGCCGAGGCCACCTCCACCACCGCTCAATGGTGCCGCTCGGATCGCGAAAAGCGCAGAGCGTCCTTACCAAGTCGTGACAACCCCTCAACACAAACGGAATGCGCCGTTGTGAGTGTGGACACGAACACGACACCACAACAGAGCCGCAACAGCTCTCCCTGTAACCTACGGGATGATGGTGCCAAAGCTGAGAGCCGGTGACTGGCACCTCCGCCTCCACACCCTGCAAACGACCGCCAACCGGACCCCCGTCTACGATCAGGCGCCAATCATTGCAAGATGATGAGCGAGGGTGAACGCAACGATCCACAACCCGGCACCACGGCATAGGAAAGCCCCGACAGACGCGACCGCCGCCAACGACGACCGAGCTGTCGTGAAATAAGCCCTCCGAGAGAGATGACCATCGACCCGAACGGCGCCGCAAAAATGTTTGCTCAACCACCAAAGCACAACTCGCCCGTCCCTCGCAAACCGGAAACCACCCAAAGCGTGTGTAGAGAGTCCCTCGTAACTCGAGTACAAGGTCCCAAAACCCACGCCCGAAATGTCGCCTTCGTCGACTGCAAGGGGGCTGCTAAGCACGCAGGCCCCTATAAGAGTGCAAACGGGACTCCGAACCGCAAACCACCGACTGTTTGGCACATCCGGAGGGTGCTCACTGAGCCATCCGCCGAGGAACCTGCACATGTCCCTTTCCAGCAAGCTGACTGAACAGACCCCAATGGCGATGTCCCCCTCGGGACCTCATCCCT